AGAGAGAGAGAGAGAAAGAAAGAAAGAAAAAGAAAAGAAAAGTCACAACACAATAGGTGGCAGGTCTAGATGAGAACTCCTTACTATGAAGTCCAAACCATTTCCTTCCCTCTACTGGATCCTTCGAGGAGCCGCTGGGCAGATAGAACGTGGTGGGTAGTGAGACTTCTACGCCTCAGGCTGATTAATTAGAACCTCTGGGTGTCTGACCCCCATGGCGGTTGTTTTTAGGGCTCCCTAGGTAATTCCAGTTACCCTAACGGTAGGAGGCACATCGCCTCCTCGAAGGCTTTCCAGGTGTGTCTTTCACAGCATAATCCTGTCCACGAAACCAAAAATCAAAACTGAGCCAGTGGTGGCTAATATCCCCTTCCCTCATCAACAGCGCTGGGGGCGGGGAAAGGCGCCCCGGTATCGCCCGCGGGCCCTGCCTCACGCTCAGGTGCAGCGACGCTGCGGGAAGCCCCCCCCTGCACTCGGCCGGCCAGCGGGGCTATTGCACCATCCGCCTCGGCTTTCGTAACCGCGCCCTGGGACAGCCAAAAGACGCTCCAGTGCAAGTTCCTCAAATGTTTTTCTGCGTTGCCAGGACCAGCTGCTGCTCTGAGTCATGTGCAAGCGGGAGGCGCGCTGACGCGGAGCGGGCCCAGAGAGAGCCGAACCGAGAGCCGCGCGCAGAGCCGAGGGACACTCCGTGTGTGCGAAGCGCTGCTCCGCGGCGATGGGGGCTGCCCCTAGGGCTTGAGCCCGCCCGCCGCCCCGCCCCTGACGCTGGGTTCCCGCCCGCCTGCCTGTCTGCCTTTTGGGGACGGTGGGGCATTGGCAGAAGAGGAAACATGCTGGCCGTCTACTGCGCATTGCTGGCCTCCCTGCTGGCCGCCCCGGGGGTGGCGCTGGCCCAGAACTGCTCTAAGCTTGGTAAGGGCTTCGAGCGCACCTAAGGGCTGGGGCAGCTGGTGCCTGTTGCGGGAAACCGCTGTCACCGCCGCAGACGGCGGGTAGCCTGGAGGGAGGAAAGAAGGTATGACCGAGGCTAGCTTGGGTCCCTGAGGGCACAAGGGGCTGGCCTAGGGCTGAACCGCTGTGGGGATGCGGCCAGTAGCTCTCCCATCCTCTAATGCGTCCTGCACATTTGGCCGGGAGCTCCCTGCCGTCCGTATGCAGGACTTGGTGTGCTCTCTCGTCTCCTTTCCTGTGCCCCCAGGAGGCTTTACCCGACTGCGCCCTGCATTCCTCCAACGGGGGTGGTGGCCGGCCTTAGCAGGGCGGTGTTCCCGCCCAGGGCAGTCTCTCCCTCTGCTTTGGGGGCCACCTGCCTGGTTCTTCCCCGACCCTTGGTGGGTGTCGGAGCTGACAGTGCCCTGACTGAGGAGGGATTGACATCATGGGCGCTGAGTCACCGCTCCCCTGCTGCACTGGCTCACTTCAGCAGACACGAGCTGGACAAGCAGAGTGCTCCGTCCTGGGAATTTAACTAAGTGGGGAGCCTGACAAAGAGTACTTCCTGGAGCTGGCAGGCGCTGGACTCCCCTTCCAGCGGAGAGGAGGAGCAGGGAGGGAGAGCTAAGGGACGCTTGTTGCTCCTGCCACTGTAGTCTGGGCCTGGCAGTCAGGCCTTTCTACCGGTTCTGGCTGCAAGTCTGTTCTCTCTGGAGCAGCTGGGCAACTGCTTCTCTAGAGGGTTATTTTAGGGTCTGAGTACTTTTTTGAGGACACAGAAGAACACCAGCCAGCAGGCTACTGAATAGATGGCTGGGGAGGCCAGAAGCCCTAGTTGATGCTGTGCTTCTGCCCTGGGTGAACCCCCATTTGATCTCTCCCTGTGGGGAGGTAACTCTACAACTAGAGACTGGGCTGGCGTGCCCACACTCTCTTTGCTTTCTGGGTGGTTATAGTCTTTTCCATTGGAAAAGAAAAAGAGATTTCATTTTTGAACATACGTTTATAACTCCCGCCAGTAATAGCCACCGAGGCCTGTTGTCTTTATGCATGTTTTCTCATCCTCCACTGTGCTTACATGTAACTTTGAAAGAGGAGACTGAGGTTCACAGAGGTTGGGACAGGACGTTGTAAGTCCCTTTGGTGGAGGGCTGCCCCTCCCACAGCTGTGTACTCCAGTGATGGGATCCCTAAGGCTCCCAAATGTAGAACTACATCAGTAGGCAGAGAGGGAGTTGTTGGGAGCCTCATCTGGCTGAATGCTTGAGCAGAAGAGGCTGAGGGAGGGGAAGTGGAGGCCCGGGCCTGCACATGGCGGTGATAGGAGGCCAAGCAGTTTGAGGCCTTGGTGGAAGCTCCCTTGCCTGCCTTTGTTGCTGCTCAGACTGCATCTTAGAGCTGCTGTCCCAGGGAGGTTTTTGCTGTTACTGCCATCTCATTTTGCTGCTGAGTGGCTGCAGGGCACTTCAAAGGCAGCTAGCTGTGGTCAGCTCTCCATTTCTCTAGTACTCAGGAAGGATGGGCAAGGTGGCCTGGATAGCCTTCGAAAGGCAGAAGTGGGAGTCTGAGGAGGAAGTGAAAGCTCTCCTAGCTCAGAAGGAAAATGCAGAGAAGTAGAAATACCCAGCTCTTCTCCCACACCCACTCAAGGCATAAACTGGAGGGTAAAATAAAGAACTCGTACAGGAAGCTTGGAGCAAATGACTGAGATGTTTCATTTTAGAGAAGTGAGGAGCAGAGAGGGTAGCAGAGGCTGGAGCTGGCTGAGTGGGGAAATTTGTGGACTCTGAGGTTGTAGAGCTTTAGGTAGCCAGGTTGTAGGTTTTCCTCGGATTCAGTTGCTGTCCACATGTCCAGGATCGGCGGGACTCCTCAGTGTGCTTGCTATCTGGAGCCCTGGACTGTCTGGGACTCAGGCTTCTCCTAGCTCCAGGTGCTGGGCATGAAAGCCCTGAAGTTGGGTGACTCAACTTCCCTCTTAACTTCTGCAATGCTAGAAAATACGCAAAACAAGTATAAATGCCTTTAGTCCTGTCTCAACGTACGAATTTCCCTGTAGGGCAACCTCTTTTCACCTCTAATGCCTATATGCATTCCTAGCCTCACCCTAAATCAGTGTTTCTCCAGAGGATAATTCTGAGTCTTAGCATCAGATTTGGCATGTGTGTTGGGGGTGAGACAGCTTGTTAAAAATACTGGTTCTTGATCCCCGCCCAAATACAGAGCAGTGGTCCTGGGCAAATGTCCTTTTTGACAAACTGCCCCTTGTGGTTCTTAGATACTGCCATGTTTAGAGACCCTCTGCCTGATCCATGTGAGTGAGGACCCGATTGAAGTCCTTCCCCCACGGGGCTCTCCCTCACCAGAGATCCTGCCTTGCTTTGGCTCTGCGCCTCGTTTATTCATTCCAGCAAACATTTGTTGAATCTGTCTGTGTAAAGCCTATGAGGTCTGTGTGGAATCAGCCACAGACTCGATCCTAAAAGGAGCCTGAAAATGGTCGAGTGTAAATCCTGAGAAAACCCAGACTCTGACCTGGCCAACTTGTTACCAATTGCCAGGGGCAGGAGATGTGCTTCAAGGGAGGAAGCTCCTTTCTTGAGGACCGAGATCCCAGGGCATGCTGACCCTGACTGCATTGTCTTATCTGGGACTCTCAGCAAAATGGGTGAATAAATACCCCCCTCACCTGGTATTGCAAGGATCACACAAAGTGCCCTCACTACCCACAGGTGTGAGTATGCACCCTTCCCTACTTTGCCCCACACTGATCCCACCAGGCCTGCAGGACACAGACTAAGCAAGTGAGGACATCTCCTGTCGCTGAAGCTGTGCACTGTGCACTGTGATATGGTAGCCCCTGGCCATGTGTGACTATTTTTAGAGACAGAGTTTTACTTTGTTGCCCTCAGTAGAGGGCCGTGACATCACAGCTCACAGCAACCTCCAGCTCTTGGGCTTAGGTGATTCTCTTGCCTCAGCCTCTTGAGTAGCTGGAACTACAGGCAGCTACCACAATTCCCGGCTATTTTTTTGTTGCAGTTTGGCCGGGGCCAGGTTCGTAGCCACCACCCTTGATATATGGGGCTGACGCCCTACTCATTGAGCCACAGGCACTGCTCATGTGTGACTTTTTAAATTTAATTAGGGCCCAGGAGCAGTGGCTCACACCTGTAATCCCTGTACTCTGGGAGGTCCAAGAGGTTAGATTGCTTGAGCTCAGAAACTCAAGACAAGCCTGAGCAAGAGTGAGACCCTGTCTCTACTAAATAATAGAAAAACTAGCTGGGCACTGTAGTGGGTGCCTATAGTCCCAGCTACTTGGGAGGCTGAGGCAGGAGGATTGCTTAAGCCTAGGAGTTTGAGGTTGTTATGAACTATGATGCCATAGCACTCTACCCAGGGCAACAGAGTAAGACTCTATCTCAAA